AATATGGGTCCCCAAAATAAAACTTTGTGAAACACTGCATTAGACAATATGGGAATAAGAATATATAGACGAGTTTCATTGTTGACAAAAGCGCGCGTTGCATGCTGGGAATTATTTTGGTCGGCGGCAAAAAACACTAATTCAACATGACGGACGGAGCGAGAAAACACGTAAAGGGTATTGATCCCGGTTATTTATCCACTCTAACGGCAGAGGACCCAAGACCATTTGACCAGAAATTGGTCATAAGCATCGATGGAGCCAAATCACCCTTTTCAACCCCGACAAAAGGTGGACCAAACCAAATTTCTGGTCAGAATCTCCAACTACCTGGACAAATATTCACTTCGGTGATATCCACAATGACTTGGTGGAAACTCCTGGGCCATTCACAGCAGAAAAGATGAAAACCTCCAAGAGTCTCGATGTGTTGTTGAACTTGTTGGAGTCCACAGTTTGCTAGGATCTTCTACATTTGCTCTGCGAATGTTTGAAAGTCGTTTAATTCACCGTTAGCGGTTCTTTTCACTCAGAATACGAAAAAGACATTTTCCTTCTTCCGTGCTTCTATTTGTGCATCCGATAATGCAGCAGGAATTTACCATTATCGAGGATAAATACGCGAGGTTACGCACTGTGTTTGACCGCTACCGTGTTTCTTGCCTCCGACCAAAATATTTCCCAGCATGCAACGCGGGCTTTTAATAACAATGACGTCAGCTGAAACTCGCCTATATCTGTACTGTATATTTAGGCCCAAAAAGAATCTAACATGCTCCACCCAGGCTCCGTCCTCACCAGGGGAGTGCAGGTGTGTCTGCGCGGGGCTGGAGCTCGGTGTCGGGGGTGAGACGGGCTCATGTGCTGGGGGAGAGGGTAATGGGCTGTGGGATGAGGATGGGCCTGGTGGGTTTAATGGGACAGAGGAGGACCGCAGGAGGCGCGCGGGGTCTCACTCTGCAGCACAAGCCAAATGAGAGCTTTTGTCCCCCACAAGCTGCAGCGTTTTTCGAGGCGATTAGAGGATATGGATAAACGCGCACGGTTGAGGAGAGGATCGTTATGTTCACGTACAACAGGAGAAACTGCTTAAACTGTAACGCTAAAGTGAGAAGGTTGCAAAAAATAAGGTGAATGAATCTATTAAATACAGCGTAAGGACCACCCAGGCTTAAAGGTGCAATGTGTAACCTTTCTGGTCTAGTTCCTGCCATCTGCTGGTCTCCACGGAGATTTTACTTGGTCATCACAATGGAAAGCAGGTTAATGGTCAGATCTGTGGAGAAGCAAGCCTGTATATGATAAGAATTCATGTTTTTAAGTGATTTTTTTGAGCTATAAAACACAAATGGAAGCGAGACACTGTATGTTTAATGCCCTACTGTGAAATATTCCACGCAAAAAATCACATCTCCATGGAGACGAGCAAGTCCAGCTCACAAGTTACACAGTGCAGCTTTAACTTTGGCTCTCCATCTAACTAAACTGCAAATGAACGTCGAAAAATACAAAGTCTGTAATTTAGTTGTACAGCCTAAAGTGGCGTTGTTTTTTTTTTTTTGTAAGGCTTTATAAATGACTGTTGTGTACATTTCAATTAAACACAATGTACAAACAACTCTAGCTTCACTCTGCTGCAAATGGCTCGGTAAAATACACAGCCGAGTCACCACAGTAGCTTTAGTTAACTTGTAGATACATTCATTTGAACAAATATCCAGATTTACAAGTTTTACAAATAAGGAACTGCAGATGGAAAGCAGCTAATGGGCTAAATCTGTTATGTTTATTAATATGCATTGGCTCTTTACATAATACTAGGGCCCGGCCGATATGGGCATGGGGAGACATATTGGTTATCGGACTAAATCTTGCCGATATGGGCCAATAGTCCATGTGGGCATATTATATCTCATTATAAAGCTTAGACTCTCTATATTATGTCCATTTAATCCAATTTACAGACAGATAAATGCCCGAAGATGTGGCGCCTCATCAGTATTTATCTTAAGTAATTTGTCTTTGTTTGTGACGACGTACTGCCCCCAGAGTCACGTCGCTCACTTGCACTTGTTTACACACACAGTTTCTGTCAACATGCTGGATTATATTCTTTTTACGGACAATCGTTTTGAGCCAGGATTGGAGGGACACTTATTTGTGAAGACTTGTGATCTGAGAGGTGCCTGTATGAGCGGTGAGTGCTGCAAATGTGTCGGTTTTGAAGATGCTTTTGGTTCTTTCTCATTGTTCAGCTGCTGTAGCTCTCACACATAAACAGACTGTTTCTGGACCTGCATGCATATGTAAATGAGCTGTGAATAGAGGTGTGAATGGTCAGCATTTACGCGTTATTAATTACAGCGGCGCGCACGTGTTTGCCACTAAAGGCTGATAAGGGTAGTTTACTTACTTTCTTTACTGGCTAGAATGTGATACAAAAAATGCCATTAGGCCGACCTACTGTCTTTAAATATCTCGCCTCAAAACCAGGGGAGGCCGAGCTTTCTCTGTTGTTGCCCCCAAGCTTTGGAATTCCCTCCCTCTTCACCTAAGATCTTGCTCCTCCCTGTCTCACTTTTAAACCCTCCTAAAAATAATTTTTTTCAAGATGCCATTTAACAGCCCATGAGCTCTACTTTAAATTATTATCTTTGTGCATCAAGTAACTCATTTATGTAATATTTTATATATTTTATATTTGTGTTATTGTTTCACTATGTTGTGTTTCATGCTGTAAAGCACTTGGGTGCAACTTTTGATGGTTGTTTTAAAATGTGCTATATAAATAAAATTACTTGACTTTAAATATGACGTAAAGAGGCAGAATAACAATAAATGTTGCCTAAATAAAGTCAATTTAAAATCCAATAGAACCAAACCTAAATTTTATAATCAATTGAAGATTTATAGTGAATTTTTACATCACTAAATATATCGTTTTTTATATTGACTATCGGCTCCAACTCCGCACTTTATCGGTATCATATCGGCTGTAAAAAAATGCTTAAATATTCAACATTTACTCATAGTACTTTCTTTTATATTACCATTATATGCCATTATTATATAACATTTGACAGCCCAAATACAGAGTGAGAATAAATATGAATAAATGATTTTGATTTTGACATTTTGACTTCTAATAGTCTTGGGATGGGTTTTGTGAGCTCAGACTTTAACATCATTTCTGTGCTCGTATTCATTACAGTTGTTCGTGATTGATTCTACCCTCCATCTTCTCCGGCTTTTGGGTCACGGGCAGAGCGATGCATGCTGGGATGTTTGCAGAGGTCAAAGGTTAATGAGGTAATAATGTGTGGTTAACTCTTCTGGGTTCACCTCGCTGTCTACACCTTTAATTAGCCCGTTCCCGTATCCTGGCTCCCTGCTGCTGTTTAACCCACACAAACCAGTTCAATCAGTCTCCCGGTGACGAAATCAATTATCAGATATGACTTAGGAGAGGGCTTCTGTCACTACGGAGACTTTTAGCGTCTGGAGTTTTTTTGGCCTAGTTATCCGTGATAATAGATAGGAAGCGTCAGCAGCCAATTGGATTAGCCCCTTGTGGTTGGTTTTAATGAAGATTACACGCCCCTGTGGTTAATGGATATTAGACAGAGAGCAGACCCGCGGCGAGACCTGGCTCTGGACCAAGGTGAGGCCAGAGTCGTGCCATGAGAGCTCCCACTGAGGCGTTAATCAGGTCTACTGTATTGTACCGGGACAGTATGGAGTAGAGGGGTCTGTTTGCTTTAAATATTTTTATATTGTGAATAGAGTATGAAATATTTTGCTTGTTATGATTGATTAATGACAAAGACTCATGGTTTTGGTCTAAATAAGCTTTAGAATTTGGGTCATCTATTGTATTGTTTGAAACTGTACATCCATGAGCCACTCACAGATAATCACCATACAAGCATTTTTAGAGACTATTATTAAATTAAAGTCCTAGTATGTTAGCCAGGGTGCCTCCGCTCAGTTTCATTTCTCTCCAGTGACTAGGTCAGGAATCAGAATACACTAGACGGTTTGCAAGACCGCAGAAGTTGTAGACCGCACACCGACCAATCAGCGAAGAGCTGTGAAGCCATGAAACTAAAGCGCCTGTCTGGGTCCCTTTTGTGGAACAGCACAACAGTAAACAACGAGGTCGAGAAGACGAAGACAGACATTCTGGCACCAGCCAATCAGTGACGAGCCATAGATTCTGTGTTGGCCACGGTTCTCGAGATCGAGGATTTAAAGCCGGAACAAAGAGAATGTTTGGTGAAATTTATCAAGGGGAAAGACGTTACTGCCCTTCTTCCTACGGGATTTGGTGCATTATATACATCACGACCAAATAGCAGCGATTGATTAAATGAAAAAAGTACCCTGCCTACCGTTGAGCGAACGAATGCTAATGCTGCGAGGTCAGACAGTTTCCACGAAGTGTAACTGACTGATGAATCAGGCTACTAGTACGTTACTCTTCAACCAAAATTTTTTTTAAATTTTTTATGGAATGGCATGTATCTCCATGGTATGGTTTTAATTTCCATTGAGTCCTGTAGGAGTGTGCCACCTCCAGAAAGTTACATAGTGCACCTTTAAGTCCAAGTAAGGTTCATATTAAAGTCTAGATTATTGTCCCCAATGGGAATTTTGCCTTTCAATGCTCCTAGACCAATCAGTCAGGAGCAACGGACCCTTCTCCAGATCTTGAACTAGGTTTGGTCAGGACTCATTACCTTCAACATACAATCTCACAGAAACGTTCCAGGAAAGGAACCCAGCACCTTATTGCTGTGAAGTAGTGCTGAGAGCCACCATGGAGCCACCATGGAGCCACCATGGAGCCACCATGGAGCCACCATGGAGCCACCATGGAGCCACCATGGAGCCACCATGGAGCCGCAAAGTATCTACACAGCGATGCTGTTATATCTAACAATCGTTCAGCAGCACTAACAGTTGCCTTGCTCAGATTGTAGGGAGTATTAGTCTCTCACCAGTTGCTCTTCCATGTGTGGCGGACGTGTGGGTCATGGATGCTGTGCCTTATCCGCCTGCTCGTCCAGGAAGTCAAACATGTATTTTATGGCCAGGGGCAGAGCGGAGCCTCGGTGAGCTGTGCTGAAGATCGTCTCGAACAGGTCGTCCACAAACTTCTGTAACGTGCCCTGGAAAAGACAGACACAGAAGGGCATTAGGTCAGCGTAAAGGTCCTGTATTACGCAAAATTTACTTTGACTGTTTTTTAATTCCCCCCCAAAAATCTCTTGCGACTCAGTCTTTGTGAAACACTGGTGTACAGTACAGTTACCTGGTTTGTGTGTGTCATCATTTCTAAGCAAAAAGTAAAATTATTATTAAAATTGGGAGAAATTTTGAACAATTCTTTATCAAAAACTTTAATACAATGATGTTGGCTGCTTTTTAGCGAAACGAGTCGTCCGCTCTGTCAGGGGCACTTTAAAGTCGGGGTCGTTATGTCGTCTTTCAGGCAGTTATCTATTATTAAGAGAATTACACTTGCAATTGGAGCGATTGTAACCGCTGCGTTGGATTCCACCCACACTTCGCTTTGTCTCTCCACTTTTAATAAATACTAGAGCGTACAGGGTCTGTCAGCGGCTTCTCTCCATGGAGACGTTGCCCGGAATGTTCCACAGTACGGCATTACACTTATTTATCTCCGTAGAAACAGCAGGTGATTCTTAAGTAAATAAAAAAAACATTGTTGTTGTTGAGTAAACGCTTGCGCAGATGGATGTTTTTAATGCCACACTGAGACGTTCTAAACAAAGCAACAGCATCGCCACGGAGACAAGCCCCTCCATCAGAGAAGTTACACAGTGCACCTTTAAGAACAGAGTTTATTTAGTCCCTATGAAACTTTTTGCTATTTTCTAACGGATCAACTTTGAGAGCAAAATATTAACTTGGGAGCACAGTGTGGATCGATAAAATCACACTATTCAGAATTATAAAACTTAAATTGAAATCTCTCGTGGTACAAATCGCAAAATCTTTAGTGTAATTTGAACATTTTGTACAATGATCTTAGAAGTGCACCGTGTAAATGTCTATCTGTGACTTATTATAAAACACAAAGAGAGAAGAGAGAAAGAAAGAAAGGAGACAGAAAGGAGAGAGAAAAAAGAGACGGGGTGGGAGAAAGAGAAAGAGAGAGAGAGGAAGAACTAGAGGGGAAGAGAGGGGAAAAGGAGAGAGAGGGAGAGAGAAGAAGAAATAGAGAGGGACGTATGAGAGAAAGAGAGAAGAGACAAGGAGAGAGAGACAGAAAGGAGAGGAAAAAAAAGGGACAGAGAGAGAGGGGGGTCAGGAGAGCAAGAAGAAAGAGACAGAGAGAAAGAAGAGAGAGAGAAGAAGAAATAGAGGGGAAGAGAGAGGGAAAGGGAGAGCGAGGGAGAGAGAAGAAGAAGAAATAGAGAGGGACAAAATGAGAGAAAGAGATAAGAGGCAGAGAGAGAAAGAAAGAGAAAGGAAGGAAGAGAAAAAAGAGACAAAGGGAGGGGGACAGAAAGAAAGATAAAAGAAAGAGACATAGAGAGAGGGAGAGAGAGAGAAAGTAGAGAGGAGAAGACAGAGAGAGGAGAAGAGAGAGAGAAGAGGAAATGGAGGGGAAGAGAGAAGAAGAAAAAACAGAGAGGGAGAAAGACATTGTAAGAGAAAAAGAGAGAGAGAGAGAGAAAAATAGAGAAATAGAAAGAAAGAGAGAGGGTGAGAAAAAGAAAGAAAGGAAGGGGGAGAAAAAGAGAGAAAAGACAGAGAGAGAGAAACTGTACTCCACCGCTGCACAGTCTGCCGTCTTACACAGAGGAAGACTCGGCTCCAGTATTTTGTGGCTGAGCTCCTCCGGTGCCGCTATCTCGCAGACCTGACCCGTAAATCTGTTTGCGGCTTTGATGGAAGAATCGCTTATTTCACAGCTGACGTTTAATAATATCTGCCAACAGGAGGCGCCGCTCTAAGCCTCTTTGTGCAGCCGGATTAACTCCTGCACTGCACCATTGACCCTAATTTGATTTAATGTTGGAGAATTTTAAGGAGCACGAGAAGAGAGAGAGAGAGAGAGAGAGAGAGGGGGGAGAGAAAGAGAGAGAGAAGGAGAGAGGGAGAGAAAGACAGAAAAAAGAGAGAGAGAAAGAGAGAGGGGGGAGAGAAAGAGAGAGAGAAGAGAGAGGGAGAGAAAGACAGAGAAGAGAGAGAGAAGGGTAGAGAGAAGGGGAGGGAGAAAGAGTGAAGGAGAGAGAGAGAAGTAGAGAGAGGGATAGAGATAAGCGAGAGAGAGAAGTAGAGAGAGAGAAAAGAGAGTGAAAGACACAGAGAAAGCAAGAGGAAAGGAGACAGAAAGAGAGAGCGATGAAGCTAGAGAGAAAGGAGAGAGAAAATGAGAGAGAGAAATGGAGGGAAAGAGAGAGGGAGAGAGGAGAAAGAGAGTGTGAGGAGAGAGAAAGAGGTGAGAGAAGAGAGAGAAGGGAGGAAGAGAGAAAGAAAGAGAGGGTGGAAGAGAGAGAGGAGAGAGAGAGAGAGAAGACAGAGAGAGGGAAGAAACAAAGAGGGAGAGGAAGAGAGAGAGAAAGGGAGGCAGAAAGTGAAAAAGAGAGTAAAGGGGGGAAACAGAAAGAAAAAAAGAAAGAGGGTGAAAGAGAGAGGGGTGAGAGAGAGAAAGAGCTAGAGGAAGAGAGAGGGGAAAGAGAGAGTGAAGAGAGAATAAGGGAGAGGGAAAATGGAAAGAGAAAGAGGGGAGAGTGAGAGAAAGAGAGGGGGGAGAAAGACAAAAGGAGATAAAAACAGAAAGAGGGTGGAAGAAAGAAAGAGGGAGAGGAAGAGACAAAGAGAGACAGAGAGAGAGAGAAAAGGAGGCAGAAAGTGAAAAAGAGGGGGGGAACGAGAAAGAAAGGGTGACAGAGAGAGGGGGAGAGAGAGAAAGAGCTAGAGGAAGAGAGAGAGGGAAAAGAGAGAGAGAAAAATAGAGAGGGAGAGAGGAGAAAGAGAGAGAGTGAGGGGAGAGAACATGAGAAAGAGAGAGAGAAACAAAGGGAAAGAGAGAGGAGAAAGAGAGAGTGAGGAGAGAGACAGGAAGAGAGAGAAAGGGAAAGAGAGAGAGAAAGGTAATTAAGAAAAGAGAGAGAGTGAGGGAGTCAGAGAAAGAGCAAGAGGAACAGAGAGAGGGAAAGAGCGAGAGATAAAGATAGAGAGAAGGAGAGAGAGAGAGAGAGGGAGGGAGGAGAGAGGAAGTGAGAGAAAAAAGGGAAAGAGGTGAGAGAGAGAGACAGAGAGAGAAGAAAGAAAAAGAGTAATAAAAGAGAGAGAGAGAGAGAAGAGAGTGAGAACGCTTGGGAGAGAGAAAGAAAGAAAAAGAGAGAGATGAGACGGTTTAATCCTCTTGTACAGAAAGCGTTGATGGATGCACAGGGAAATACCAGGGGTTGCGTTGAGTTAAAAATGAAAAGATGAGGGGTTTTTTCTTTTGTGTCGGGGACGAGGCGACGGAGAGCAGCAGATGAAGTGTGTCCAGGAGCCAACAAGTTCAAATCCAATCAGAGAGAGAGAGCAGGTCACATGACACACACACGACAATCCTGTTAACCACCATCCTCACACACATGCGTGACACTTCATCCTCTGTCTCTAACCGCCGTAACGCATTTATATTTACAGTGCGGCTTTATTTATGTCAAGTCTACAGTTTGGATTTGACACGAAAAGTTTGACATGAAAAGTTTGCATCAAGGGAAGGACTTAAAGGCTTTTTTTTATTACGCTATTTTCTGTTTTTCTGGTGTTATAATGTTGTTTCTTCATCGCAAACGGACCTGGAGTTGTGTTTTGTTTCATTCACACATGTTTAACACACAAACCCTGCGTATTTAGGCTGAGTTCTTCTCTGAAACTGAAAACACTCCACCTTATGATGTCATGTGGTGATCCAGGAAGTGCTCCATTGTGTTTTTAAACCCCATACCCCATCTTCACTAGAATCATTTGGATTATTTCGGCTCTGGAAATGGTAATCTCTACGGAACTAAAGGGAAAAGGTAGACAGGCTGGCGCCACCTAGTGCCTCTGCTCAGTTTCATTTCTCTCCAGTGACTAGGTCAGGAATCAAAAAACACTAGATGTTTTGCAAGAACCCCGAAAGTGCGAGTTCGGGCACCAACCAATCAAGCGAAGAGCCATACATTCTGTCTTGGCAACGATTCCCGAGATTGAGGATTTAAAGCCGGAACAAAGAGAATGTTTGGTGAATTTTACCAAGGGGAAAGACGTTATTGTCCTTCTTCCTACAGGATTTGGGAAAAGCTTAATATACCAGTTAGCCCCGTTAGTGGTGCATTACATTATGTCACAACCAAATAGCAGCGATTGGTTAAATGAAAAAAAGTACCCGCCTACCGTTGAGCGAACGAATCCTAATGCTGTGAGGTCAGACGGTTTACAGGAAGTGAAATTCAGTAAAATATACCAAAAAATACTCTAGGCAATATATATCGATAGAGCAGCCCACAATATCGTTGCTGTATCATCACATTAAGCGAAAAAATATAGCAATTTTTCAATATTTTTGCACAGATATATCCACAGTATTTTCTGTTTCTCATGTGGCCTCATGGAAAAAATAATAGCCCATCTCTGAACTCTGGAGATGTAAACATTAAATAGAGATGTGTGAATGAAACAAAACACAACTCCGGTTATGTTTTTGAAGCGGTAACAACATTTTAACATGGCTTAAAGTTGCATCGTGTACCGTATTTTCTGCACTATAGGGCGCTCTAGATTATTGAATGGTCTATTTTTTTACTTTTTTCACAAATAAACCGCCCCGGACTTTAAAGGAAACACAACAGTTGGATGGGTCAGTGGGACTTTGTTTGTGGCGTTCACGGTGACTCTGGGTTTTGTTCAGTTGTGGCGTGTAGGGAGGGTGCTGTCTGGGACCGCTGGATTGTCGGCGTGTTCGCAGTGACTCAGTTGTTCAGTCGTGTCTAGAAGCGGCACATTGCGCTCGCTTTTTCGGTTCGTTCCTCCGTTCCGCTCCTCGTCGGCGCGGAGTGATGAGTGCGTCTGCGGGTGTTTTTCGCTGCTCCGTGTGTGTTTGCGTGTTCTGCGGGTGGTGCGGCTTTGTAGTTTACTAAAGTCGTACTGGGAC